ATGATCACAGTTGCTCACTACATCTTTCAGCTCATGGGCTCAAGCTATCTTCCTGCCTCAGCCTTCCCAGTAGCTAGGACCACAACTCTGCATCACCATGCCTAATTTTTAAATTTTTGTATAGATGGGGTTTTGCCATGTTTCTCAGGTTGCTCTTGAACCCCTTCCACCTTGGCCTCCCAAAGCACTGGAATTACATGTTTGAGCCACTGTGCCCTGCCAGAGGTTCATTTCAACAATATGCTTTCCCAGAGATGTCTGATAAGATGAAGCTTCTAGAATTCCTTCATCATTCATTTAATGGCTATCATGTCAACTGCTATAACCACTGTCCTGGAAGTCCATTTCAACTACCTGGGAGAGCTTCAAATGTATCTATCTGTGCCATGGTCTCCCTGTCCCCTGAGATTCTGACTCACTGGGTCGAGATGACACCCAGATGATGGCAATAGTTTTGAAGCTTCATCATCAGAGTGGTTTCGATGTGGAGGCAGGGCCCAGAAACTGCTGCTGTATAAGTGTAGTTCTCCACCCACCCCAGGTGGATATAGGATGCAAAGTTGACAGAACCCATCCCAGGAAGGCACACCTCTTGCTGCAGTGCTGCTGAAGAAAAACAAGAACTGTGTACACAAGGGCTTATTAAAGAGAAGTAAATTACCAATAGGTTCCCTTTTAATCAATCAATTAGTCACTACACCAAAGAGTAGAGATGAAGATGAATAACCCAAGTTCTTCCCTGGAAGGTCCTGTGCTTAGTATATTTGAGGTCATCAACCTCAACAGCCTCAGTTAAAAATAAATAAGAGAATTGAGGCTTCAGCCCAGTGGTTATGACTTGCCCAAAGTCATGTGGCTGCTAAGTGCTGGATCCCTGGTCACATGCATTCCTAATAATTGCCGGCACATTATATCTGTGATGGACTTTTTACCCATTTAAATTGTATCAGGTCATCCAATAATCCTAATGTACTATGCTAGGATACAAAAGAGAACTTAAGATATCGCTTTGATTTGTATTGATGTACTGTTATGCTATTGTATTATTCTGTTCTCATGCTGCTGCTAAAGACATACCCGAGACTGGAAAGAAAAAGAGGCTTAAGTGGACTTACAGTTCCACATGGCTGAGGAGGCCTCAGAACCACGGCGGAAGGTGAAAGGCACTTCTTACATGGCAGCAACAAGAGAAAAATAAGGAAGAAGCAAAAGCAGAAACCCCTGATAAACCCATCAGACCTAGTGAGACTTATTCACTATCACGAGAAGAGCACGGGAAAGATTGGCCCCCATGATTCAATTACCTCCCCTTGAGTCCCTCCCACAACATGTAGGAATTCTGGGAGATTTGGGTGGGCACACAGCCAAACCATATCAGCTAGTGACTTTATCGATCCAAAACTTCACTGAGAATAAATTGTCTCAATTTTCTAAAATTGCAACTAGTTTTACATTCATGAGTAATCATGTTAAGAAAATATACATGACAAAATTGTTCATGATAGACTTAGTGTCATAGTATACGATGTTCAAAACTGAATCGCCCAAGTATAATTGTCAGAAAGGCTGGGGCAAATCTCCTGTCGTACTCCACGTAATTCCACTTTAAAAATACAAATAGAGTCTCCCGACTTGTTTTGTATAACCTTTGTCACCGAAGCTCATTGACAGATGTACAATGTGTTTCATATCAACTTATTTTGTGTGTTATGCAAGTTGATAGGAATTATGCATTATGCAATTTTACGGAGCAGTTTGTGGTAACCACGTGTTATTGAGAACTGCTGTGTGTACTAAAGACTTAAACTGCATCTGACATAGATTAAAAAAATGCTTCAGAGGGTGAGAGTGTTGTGTGAAATTAGTTTGTCTGGAAGGATAAAGAACACTTAAAACGACTTCTTAGCGGCAAGTAATAAAAGACAATAGTAATGCTTGTGTAGAAGGTTAGAGGTTCCCCTAAGAGAAGATACACATCTGTCCTGTTCCCTAATAGTCAGTGATGGAAATCAGGGAATGAGTGAGGGTAGTTGGGGAGAGAGGGACCCAGGGATGCCCCATTGGGAACCCCCAACTGTTGTGTTCTGACACTTATTCCCATCACTTCCATGTCTTGGTTGCTTACGTGTGTTCTAATCATTTGCTATAAGGGAAAGTGGAGCTAGGAATGGGACAGAACAGGGGCCTCTGATGACTCCTTAGCTTCCACCCTGATGGACCCATTTGCATGATGAAAAGAAGGTCCCGATTGGGTGGAGATTGTGGAGTAGGGCTCAGGTGCCTGGCAATGGCTGAAGCCTGAGAGCAATCTCCTTTCTCAAACCATGACCATCCTCAGAATGGCTTCAAGTCAGATTTGAGCTCACCAAAGATGTGAATGGGTCAATGTGAGGAATCTCACTGTAGTACCTTCTTTAAAACAGAATCTGAGACCTCCTTCCTTGTGAGCATTTACTGTAGAGGGATATGCCACCCTTTCCATATTTCACACATGCACACGCAGAACTGCTAAGCCATAAAGTACGCTCAAAGACACTCCATGCAAGGACAACAAAAACCAGACCTTCCAAAATGATAACCAGGATTTTATAACTCATAACACCATGCATGTTATATTAAAAGTGGGAGACTTTTTGAACTGCAACCTTTACATCCCAATCCAATAGTTCTTTCAGCTTTGAAATATCCACAATCTGAATTTTATAGGGATTATTTTTATTATAGGTAAAGCAATTAAATCTCCATATTGGGGGATGAAAACCTTTTAAAGCCCTTCTCAGAATATCAAAAGAAAAGCAGGGTTATATTTAACAGGTGTGACAACCCAACACAGGACATTTCATTGAAAAGGAGCTTGACATTATCCAGTAACAAATACTTAAATTAATCCAAAACATGTTTTGGATAAAACGGATTTTAAAATGAATTAAGTCGGCCACAAAACTTTATATAAAAAGAAGACCATCTCATGTGTGAAATAGTTTAAAATACTAATTCCTATGGAATCTGTCAAGTGGTGTTTTTATAAAAACTTTCCTTTTAAATGACATTTTAATTAGAATTATGATGTTTGTCCTGCAGAACAGAAAGTGAAGTTGTCTCTTACTTGTGTTCTTTTGGCCTTTCAGGTTAACTTAATTGATTTAATTCATTGAAACGGATTTCCTCCTATTTGACCTAAATCGTGAAGCAGACTAAAGGGCTGCCTGTGGTCACAGGCAGGGATTAGCTGGACAACAGAAAGAACTTCCTAACTGTAACTACAAGATGCAATCAGTTGGAGGAGATGTTGTCATACGGGCTGTGCAAAACTCTAGGATTCTGGATACTGAGGTTCTTCAAGGTTGATGACCCACATTTTATGAATGGGCTCAGTATGCGTCTTTCATCTTTTAAGAAATTCTCTTTCCTTCTCCCTCTCTCTCCTCTCTC